ATTCTCTCAAAACTGTAAAGCAAATGAAATGCAGTTAATAGATAAAATAATGTGCTGCATTTTTTAAAAAAAGCTAACATCGAGGATTTTAAATATTTTCAGTTTAAAGAGCTGATAAATATTTGAAGAGATAGAGAGCTTTACTCAGAGTTGAAGATTATGCAAAATGTACATGTATTGAAACATCATTTGGTGCCCCATAAATAGGTACAATTTTTATATATCTGTTAATTTTAAAAAAAACTTCATGAGACAGTAGGTGCCCATTTTTTTTTTAAGATTTATTTGTTTTGAAAGTCAGAGTTAGAGAGAGAGAGAGAGAGAGGGAGGGAGAGAGAGAGATCTTCCATCCTCATATGGCTGCAACACCAGCACTGGGGCAGGCCAAAGCCAGGAGCCAAGAGCTTTATCCAGGTCTCCCACATGGATGGCAAGGGCCCCAATATTTGGGCTATCTTCTGACCCAGTTGGTCTAGGCTGGCTCAGGCTGAAGCCAGGAGCATGGAATTCTATCTTGGTCTGCCACATGGGCCACCTTCCCCTGTTTTCCCAGGTACATTAGCAGGGATCTGGATGAGAAGTGAAACAGCCAGTATTCAGACTGGGGTGCTGGCATCACTGCGCTACAGTGCCAGCCTCACTAAATACTCATTCTTATGTATCATTTTTCTAGAAACACTTTTTATAGCACTTCTCAAGTCCCAGGTACTGTCCTAAGAACAGTACAAATAATATAATAATTTATTTGAAATGCATATAAAGACCATGATAAAGGCATTGTCATTTCCTCCATCTTATAGGCATGCATGGAAATTCTCCACAGAAAAATTAGGTAACCTGGCCAAAAACTTACAGTTCATTATTGACATAGCCAGGATTTGAATCCAGGCATCTAGTTTTGGTGTCCTTGTCTTGTGTGTACTGCTTGCTCCCTGATCCCTGTTAATAACTGAGTGGGGAACCCATGAGGAGGTGTGTTTACAGATGGGATTCAATTGACAGGTGTTGTGAGCAATGTCAGTGAGCTAAAAGCCCCCATGTGGAGTCAGTGTAGCATTATTTTTATTATTATATTATCTATTATTATTATAATATATTATCTTTGCAGAGAGTTCTGGATTCAAACTCCAGCTCTGCTACTTACTAAATAATTGTCCTTGGTCCTAGTTCTTTTTTTAAGTTTTTTTAGATTTATTTATTTATTTATTTTTAACTGTTATTTAATAAATATAAATTTCTAAAGTACAACTTTTGGATTATAGCAGCTTTCCTCCCCATAACCACCCTCTCACCTGCAACCGTCCCATTTCCCACTCCCTCTCCCATCCCATTCTTCGTCAAGATTCATTTTCAATTATCTTTATATACAGAAAACCAATTTAGTATATACTAAGTAAAGATTTCTACTGTTTGCACCCACACAGAAACACAAAGTATAAAGTACTGTTTGAGTAATAGTTATGCCATTAATTCACATAATACAACACATTAAGGACAGAGATCCTACATGGGGAGTAGGTGCACAGTGACTCCCATTGTTGATTTCACAATTGACACTCTTATTTATGTCAGTAATCACCCAAGGCTCCTGTCAGGAGCTGCCAAGGTTATGAAAGCCTCTTGAGTTTGCCAACTCTGATCTTATTTAGACAAGGCCTTAGTCAAAGTGGAAGTTCTCTCCTCCCATCAGAGAACTCCTTCTCTGATGGCCCATTCTTTCCACTGGGATCTCAGAGATCTTTCATTTAGGTTTTTGTGTTTTTTGTTGTTGTTGTTGTTGTTTTTTTTTTTTTTGCCACAGTGTCTTGGCTTTCCATGCCTGAAGTGCTCTCATGGGCTTTTTAGCCAGATCCCCATGCCTGAAGGGCAGATTCTGAGACCAGAGTGCTGTTTAAGACATCTGCCATTCTATGAGTCTGCTGTGTATCCCGCTTCCCATGTTGGATTGTTCTCTCCTTTTTAATTCTATCAGTTAGTATTAGCAGACACTAGACTTGTTTATGTGATCCCTTTGACTCTTAATCCTATCATTATGATCAATTTTGAACCGAAACTGATCACTTTGACTAGTGAGATGGTATTGGTACATACCACCTTGATGGGATTGAATTGGAATCCCCTGGCACATTTCTAACTTTACCATTAGGGGTAAGTCCAATTGAGCATGTGCCGAACTGTACATCTCCTAAGATTTTTTTATTTATTTGAAAGGCAGAGTTACAGAGAGGCAGAGAGAGAAAGAAAAGTCTTTAATTTGCTGGCTCACTCCCCAAATGGCCGCAAAGGCCAGTGCTGGGCCAAGCCAAAGACAGGAGCCAGGAGCCTCTTCCAGGTCTCCCACACAGGTGCAGGGACCAAAGGACTTCGGTCATCACCCAAGAGAGCTGGATCAGAAATGGAGTATCCTCGGCTCGAACTGGCACCCACATGGAATGCTGGCACTGCAGGCAGCGGCTTTACCTGCTATACCACAGTGCCTTCTATGCCACAGCACTGGCCTTGGTCCTGATTCTTCAAGACCCTTCTGAAGTACCCTTCTGATACTGTTATAAATCTCAGTATTGCTGGAACTATGGCCTCCTAGGGAGTGAGTATACTTCTGGACTCCCTAGTTGCAATGACCGAGCGAGTTGCTTTCTGTGAGATGTACATACTCCAGGAGGTCAGTGAGCTCTTGTTAGTGCCCTAGCCTGGGAACTCGCCCAAGTAAGCTGCAGAAGTGTGAATGAGGTACAAATACGGACTGTCACGTGTTTCAGGATCTGTGGCTGCTTGTCTGATTCTCTTATGTGTAAAGTGAGGCTAAGCCTTACTCTCTCAGTTATATAGGGAAGATGATGACAGTACTTGTCTCTCAATAAATCTGTGAAGACTCAGTGAGCTAATATTGTCTTTGGACATCATGAACTTAAATGCTTTGTTTCTATTAAAAGATTTATAATAACATCAGGATCTATACTAACATTTTCAACATATACCAAGGGAAGTATGAACTATCATTAGATATTCCTTCTGTTAGGACAATATTCAAATAAGCATGCTTTATCTAAACCTTGCTAAGATCCACTTTCAAAATGCATTTTTTCACAAATCATTCTTATTTATGCATTAACATGAGTTTCTTAGCATATAAATATTTCATATCTTTGAGAAGAATAAATTGATTTTCTTAGTCTTTTTGCTTAACCAGCTTGGCCTGCCATTATAGTTAACTGACTTTATAGGATACATTTTTCCTGATATGTGTGTGTTTGTTTACTTATTTATTTATTTCACTGGCAATAGGATGGCTTAGGTATGTGCCTCAGTTTCTAGGCTAAATTTTGATTAGTTAAAACTTCCAAACATTGGCATTACTTGGAAAATGTTCCCGAAATTCAGTATTAATGTGTAATTTTTAATGTTTTAATGTTTTAAAAGGGATGGGGGCAGAAAAAGAGCAAACAGGCTGGATGAAACAACCCAGTTGTTTGCTTGGCTTAGTTTGCATAAGCTGGTGTAACTTCAAGCATCCTTCTTAGGGCTTTATAGTGCATTTCCACATGGAAAAAAAGAAGCAGCCTCCTGCTAAGTAGAGGAGGCTGTGGAAAATTTGCATACTTTACAGTGAGTCCTGTGGGAAATCTGAAAACAGATGTAAAGGGAAGATAACAAGTAGATGTGTTGCTATTTTCTGTACTAATATTAATGGACACCATCCAAGAATAATACTTCCACTCTAGATTAATTATAAAATGCTGATGAGGCTTTCATGTCATAATTAGCATTCTTTACCCTATTTCATCTGGTACCTCTGGGTCAAAAATCTAGTCTATTGACTGTGACAAGGAGTTAACCACAACTTTAAGTGGTCTATAATTATAACAGTGTTATCGAGCATTTGTTCTAAAAACAAATCACGTATTTCACAGAAATATGGAAGAATGCCAACTTATTAATAGCCAGCAGTGCGTTGATAAGCTGGCTCTCTGGAGGAGAAAAAAGCTTTGATTTTCAGTGTTGCCAGTTTCAGTGGTATAAATATTTCTGCTGTGACTGATTTTAAGTTATCAGTCATTTGACAACAGGCTCCAAATTTTCTAAATATTTAGCAATAATTTTTTGCATAAGCAATAACTTTTTGAATAAGCACCGGCATGCCCCTGAATAGATGATACAAATACTGGAATCTTATGTTGGAATAATGATACTTTTTAATTATCCTGTAATGCCTTGATTCAATTAAAACTCATCCATTAAGAAAAAGATTTAATGTGATACTTAAGAGCACTTTACAATAGTTATAATATTGTGAGTCCCAGACTACTTTGAGGAGCTAATCAAAGCAACAAATCTTGCCAAGGCAGGAGAAAAGCACACACTAAGAATTCTGAATACAACTAAAGGGAATTCTTGAACCTCCTGACATTTGTTCGCAAGTCTCAGATTAAGAATATATGTTATTTCTTTGTGATAGAGAAACTAATTTGAGAAGCAACATTCTGAATGTCACTGCTTGGGAGTTCACTAAGTATGTAGATTACTGGAGAGCCCATAAGTCACTTTCTGATTTCAGAAGAGTTAAATTACCAATATTTGATGAATAATAGAAACTGGACTCTTCTCTTATTATTCCAAAATTCAGAGATCACAAGGAATTCATGTAAAAGGTCCTGACATCAACCATAAGTAGCATTGACCAATTTAGTTTAAATTTATCCCTTTGTTCTACTTATTTTGTGTATAAGCTAACTCTAATACTTGCTTGATTCCATTTTTATTTCAAGATACGTGCTTCATGTTTGTGTATGTGTATGTTTGTATATAAGCACAGCGCAGTGAGCACTTTTTCCCCCTTTTTAAACTTACTGTGTTTTTAAAAAGCCAAACTAAGCCTTGACATATGACTCAATTAAATATTTTTGTCTTCTGACTAGCTGGAATTCCTTTTTACATTGCATTATAATGCTCCTATTTGTGTTTTGTAACACACATACCAATTAGATTTAAATAATTTATTTGGTAGGGGTTTCTAGGATAGTCATCTCTTCTGCTAGATGTAAACTTTCCAGGCTAGGAAATTCATAACTTGGCCTGATGCATATTTTCAAATGGACACTAAGTGAAGATTTTGTGAACAAAAGAATTAATGAGTAAATGATAATTTTTAATGCTAGTTGTAAGAGAAAAAGTTAAATGAGGAGCAAATAAAAAGAGACTAAGTTTATCAAGTAACCAACTTGTTATCTTCAGGTTTAGCATTGCTTCTTTGTCCATCCGTTGACCAGCTCCAGGAGCACTTCCAGTGCTGGTCCTTAGGAACTGAAGTTATGTACAATGACTCTGCTAGATTCTCATTTAAGAATGTCTCCTTTTAAATGAAAGAAGCAAACTCATTTGTCTTTCATTCTGGGGTTTTGTTATGTCTTTTCAGTTTAATCCTCAAGTGAAGAGAGAATTCTGCTTTAACAGCATGAACTGTCATAAGAGGTTAATTAAAGTTAGATTGTAATTTGCAAGGAATTTTGTTTTTACTTCTTTTTAATGTCAATTCATTTTGAATATGACTATTAAGTTGGTAAATGATGATGTCAGAGACCAATATTGTCTTTGATCAATGGGGTCATTCATTCAATTTAAGGGTATGGTGCAACTAAATGTTAGAACTTGCCTGCTTCAGCATCAGCTGTCCCTGAGACCCAGAGGGGGCTTCTTCTACCACATACACAGCAGGCATGGCATTATTAGAACAACTGATTAAATGGACAATTGAAGTTCAAATATCCCTGTCTGAAATGTGATTTAGTATTTTGGCTCTGAGCATGGTTCTATTTAGAACTGTTGTCTGGTCCGTACATTAGACTGTGAAGCCAACTTAATCCATGACATATTTATTGAACTTCTACCATTGTGACACACATATTGCCAGGGTTTCAACAATAGAAAAACATGAATGCAAGATACTTCATGCTTTTGACAAATATACATTTTGGTAAAGCAAGAATACAAATCAGTATAATGCAAAGCAAAGAGTTAAGAACCACTTGAAAGAGATAACAGCTTCTTGGAGGTAAAACCTTGAGAGGAGCACTGAAGGATGGGTAGGGTAGAAATGGCTGGAAGTCAGTGATGAAGAGGCATACTATGTACAACCAAGGAATACTGTGGGACACATTTTCCTAAGTTCAAGTCATCCAGTTAGACCCGAATGTGCATTACTTGTGATGGTGTAATGGAAGGTGAGTGTGAGAAGGAGACTTTGCCCACGTAATACGTGTGAAAATCATTGTCTAGGTAATAGGAGCTTGGTTAGGCAAAAGTGATGGGTTTAAGACCAGTCATTGCATGCTACTTATCTTTGTTCCAAGATAGTGGGCCACAAATAGACCACATTATGAAAATTACTTTTTGTTACAGTTTATATCTCTTTTGACCTGCTACCACACCCTCCTCTCTCTTCCCATTCTTTCCTAAGTTGAATTCATATCTGACATTATTCCTGATGAGGAATAACTTTTTTTTTTTTTTTTGACAGGCAGAGTGGACAGTGAGAGAGAGAGACAGAGAGAGAAAGGTCTTCCTTTGCCGTTGGATCACCCTCCAATGGCCGCCGCTGCAGCCGGCGCACCGCGCTGATCCGATGGCAGGAGCCAGGAACCAGGTGCTTTTCCTGGTCTCCCATGGGGTGCAGGGCCCAAGCACCTGGGCCATCCTCCACTGCACTCCCTGGCCATAGCAGAGAGCTGGCCTGGAAGAGGGGCAACCGGGACAGAATCCGGTGCCCCAACCGGGACTAGAACCCGGTGTGCCGGCGCCGCAAGGTGGAGGATTAGCCTATTGAGCCACGGCGCCGGCTCGCTGATGAGGAATAACTTATAATGACTTGGGGGCTGGAGTGGGTGGGGCTGGGGTGTAGGGCATATCAGTTCGAAGGAGCATTCCCATGTCATCAGGGAAGTTAATGTAAAAGACTTCAGGACTCTAAGGCATTGGATTGTAATGGGAGTAGATGAGACAGTAGGATAAATAGATTGCTGTGGATCAACAGTGATGGGGGTTCCTCCAAGCATACAGAGTTGAATAGTACCAGCATGCCCATCTTAGTCCAGCTCCATGGCCCTTGGTTGTGGGAGTGACAGCCTAACTCAGAGGGTAGGTAATTGAGGAAAACCATCCCCAGTAATGGAAATCACTCCAAATATTGGTGCCATGCTTTGCTAGTCATGTTCTCTTCATGAACTAGTGAGGCGGCATGCAGAGGTTAGGATAGCAGAAAAATAGTTTAATTTAAAATAAGAAGATTCTGGATTTGGGGGCCCCGATCTAAGTCTGAGTTTGTAGTTTGCTTTAAAAAAAGTAGAAATGGGTACATAGGTTTTTAGAGCCATTTTACCTCCTTAAGGTCATAAAAAGAAGGCATAGATTATAGGATCTGCCTCTCTGTAAACTCAAAAAGTTCAGGCCTCCTAAAGGTGGCACTTTTAACAGCTCCTCTTATGATTCCTGTAGAGTGCAGAGGGCTGCTGGAGAGGTGAGTGTTACAGGGGGGTGACTGGGGACCTGCATCTTCAGTCAGATCCACAAGGTGGCATTCTGTCAAGAAAATGTTCCGCTGTGTAGGTGGTTCCTGTGAGTGATGCTGGGTGTGCCCCCGTTTGCAGGAAGGAGAGATCACGTTCCTGAACGCTGCCTGGAAGCGGCGAGACAGTAAGTTATAGATAATGGGGTTGACAGCTGAGCTCAGGTAGAAGAAGACACCTGGAATGCAGAAATGACAAGCTGAGAAGAAACTCAGTGAAAGGTAGAATAGGGAGAATCATAAATAATGAACAAAGAACTGGAATCCTTCTGATTGTCCCGTATATATATAACTCTAGTAATTGAGATTACAAAATGCTCTGAACATACCTACCACCTGTGTACTTAGCAATCAAATAGAAAGATTAAAGATTGTTGGAAAAATTTAGGCTGGCAAGGGATCTCTCTGAGATGCTTTCAACTTCCTTTGATCCCTACTTGATTAATGAGAGAACATGTTCCCCGTAGCAGTAATGAGAGATGCTTAAGTATCAGAGGAAAGAGAGATATTTTCCTATCATTGGAATTTTTACTTAAATCTAGAATTTGAAAGAACAAGTAATAGAGGAATGGTGAATCAGTTAAAGCTTAGCCCTTGCTGAGATTTCTTAAAATGCTAAGTACCTCCTCCAAGAAAGATTCCCCAGTATTCTTTCCTTATCTGCCTCCTTCCCTTACTGACTTTTCTGACTTATCGAATAATTGTATTTTATTTTTTTCTGTCACCTGGGTTGCTTATTGCCATTCTCTTTGGAATACACTATTGCTTTATTATCATATGTTACTTTATTTCTCCAAGGCCCAAGATGAGCCCAAGTTTAGGAATCAGAGGACCTGGTTCTTACCTTGGTCCTAGCTTGTGCTGGACCTTAGACAAACTTTCATAGTTCATTTTTTCTCCATAAAATGGGAATGAAAATTCCAGCTTACCCCACTTCCCTGGATTACTACAAGGATAAAGTTGGGATACCATCTATACAGGAGCTAAGAATATAATGCAAGTGATAGGTACTATTGTCAGCATGTTTCTAGTTATCCTCATTTATATCATTCAGGGCATTAATTGTGTCATATGGCCTAAGAACAGAATAGGCAGGTTGGGATATACAAAGAAATAAATACGGATTGACAGCCCTAAAGGCACTCGGATCTGGCTGAAAAGCCCATGAGAGTATTTCAGGCATGGAAAGCCAAGACACTCTGGCAAAAAGATCTCTGTGAGTGAGATCCCAGTGGAAAGAACAGGTCTTCAAAGAGGGAGGTGCCTTTCTCTGAAGGGGGGAGAGAACCTCCACTTTGACTATGACCGTGTCTAAACAAGATAAGAGTCGGAGAACTCAAGGGGCTTCCATAGCCTTGGAAACTCATGACTGGTGCATAGGGAGATTACTGATGCCATAAACAGGAGTGTCAATTTGTAAAGTCAACAACAGGAGTCACTGTGCACTTACTCCTCATGTAGGATCTCTGTCCTTAATGTGCTGTACACTGAGGCTTAATGCTATAACGAGTACTCAAACAGTATATTTCACTTTGTGTTTCTATGGGGGTGCAAACGATTGAAATCTTTACTTAATGTACACTAAACTGATCTTCTGAAAAAAAAAAAAAAAAGAAAGAAAGAAAGAAATTATCAATTCCCAACTTGACTCTCACTGGGATTAAACATGACAATAGGTCTGATCTGATTTCATCATCATTTAAAAAAAATCATCTATTATTTTTCACTTTATGTTTCTGTGTGGGAGCAAACTGTTGAAATACTTACTTAATGTATACTAAGCTGATCTTCTGTATATTAAGATAATCGAAAATGAATCTTGATGTGAATGGAAGGGGAGAGGGAGTGGGAAAGGGGAGGGTTGTGGGTGGGAGGGACGGTATGGGGGGGGAAGCCATTGTAACCCATGAGTCGTACTTTGGAAATTTATATTCATTAAATAAAAGATAAAAAAAAATAAATAAATACGGATTGAACTCTTTTTTTTTTTTTTGACAGGCAGAGTGGACAATGAGAGAGAGAGACAGAGAGAAAGGTCTTCCTTTTGCCTTTGGTTCACCCTCCAATGGCCGCCACGGCCGGCTCACTGCGCTGATCTGATGGCAGGAGCCAGGTACTTCTCCTGGTCTCCCATGGGGTGCAGGGCCCAAGCACTTGGACCATCCTCCACTGCACTCCCTGGCCACAGGAGAGAGCTGGCCTGGAAGAGGGGCAACTGGGACAGAATCCGGCGCCCCGACCGGGACTAGAACCCGGTGTGCTGGTGCCGCAAGGCGGAGGATTAGCCTATTGAGCCGCGGCGCCGGCTGCAATTGAACTCTTACTGTGTGCCAGGAGCTTCAAGGCACATTGAGAGATGGTGAATTTAGAATTTTTCCCCTAAGTACTTGATGAAATAGTATTGCAGAGACCAGATCTATGACTAAATTGAAGAATTAAAAGCTGAACAACATGAAACTATTATGCCGAAAACCATGCTATATCCACTCATATAATGTAGTAACACAAAGACTATTATGGTTATGAAAGATTTAGTGTGGTAATTGAACTATAGCCAGAGCTTGAAATGGATAGCAAACAGAAAGTAAGGAGAGTGTGTTGCAGGCAGAAGGCATAGCATGCACAAATGGGCAGAAGTAAAAATTGTTTGCATGATACACAAATAATGTACAGAACTCTCTAACTATGTTGATAAATGTATTGTGTGTGAATGGAAATATTACAACTTGGAGGCTGAAAAAACAAGTTGAGGGAATTTTCTGTAGGATTTAAGAGGTTTAAACATTATCTAGTTTTTAGTGTGGGGGAAGGACAAATGGCACCTTAACTCCTTAATGTCATCCTTGATTCCGTAATGTGGCCACCTTGACACCTCTGGAGCTACTTAGTCAGCTGGTCAATTTCATGTGAACTTATAGGTTATTCCAGTTTCTTTGAACTTTCCCATTTTCCTGTGATTAATCATAAAGATAAGCTAATAGCTATAAATATTTTTGAGGTTTGGCCTTGGATAGCTAATGGTTGAACCAAAGAGTACTAATGTCTAGGTCTAAACTATACAGAGGCCTGCTGAGTTCAAAAGGAAGGGTGAAAAAAATAGATGATACAATGTTATCTGATTAACTAACATAAATTGATCTTTTCTTTTATCTCTGGTTGCATCTTTGATAATATAAAGAGCCCAGAGAATCAGCCAGTGACTAGCAGAGGTAGGGTAATGGAATGGCCCGCACCTCTGACCAACAGTTCTGTTGACTGAGAACAAAGGACCCAGGTGGCCAGCCTCTGCAATGCTTTTGTGTACAGAACACAGAACTTGAAGTTAGATGACTTGGGCTTGAACCCTGTTTTTACTGTTTTGCATATGATTGTCTATAGGAAGACTATTTCTTCTTGTGGAACCGTGTTTTTGTACTATAGCATGTTAATGACAGTATCCACTAAACAACTTATTTTAATTTTAAAAATAGATAAAAGAATTTTATAGCTCAAAAATTTGTTTAATGCACTTGGTATCATTTGCTTCTTTACAATCTGCTATGGTTTTTCTGAGCAGGCATCACTTCCATTTTGAAGATACTTTAACATGAAGGAAACCATGGACTTCAGATACTTCCAAATACTAATGGTGTAACTGAGGAGCCAGTCCAGGTCCCCTGACATCATGATTTTACATCACTGTTTCCACCACATTCTATAGTATCTTCAACATGCAGAATTAATGTAGTCTAAAAGCAGACCTTAATGTTCCATGAGCACCCTTTGGTTGGCTCACATGAGGATTTAACTCTTGTGAAAGGCAATACAAGGTTTCAGGGATATGATATTCACTAAGAACAGATCCACTTGTATTGCCATTGGAGGGGAAACTAAAGGCATTATCCCATAACCATTTTCCGACTATAGCCATTATTCTTAGAGTAAGGTTTTTCTATGAAGTAGCCTCCAAAGAGTGATGTGCTATATTTCTGTGAAAACAGTAACATCAATATTTTAAAAAATTAACATCAAATGTCTTCATCGCTATATGGCAGGTCTCTATGATAAACTGGTATACTCAGGCATGTGAGCAAGATGAAGAAGTTGCCATTACCTGAATACTTGTCATTCAACAAGGGATCTGAGTCTTTACCTGATACCACATGAATGAGATTGAACACAGCAGCCAGGGATTCATTCCATTCTTCCACAAAGCTGAAGAAGAGTCGGTCAATATGGAATGGGGTCCAACAGATAGCAAACGCTAAGACTAAGACAACTGGAAGGGGATGATAAATGGGAGAGGAAAAGGCAGTCTTAGCAAGGATAGATGTCCATTGTTGAGTCTGTCATCCGTTCCCTCTAGCAGTTTGCTTTGTTAAGCTGCAACTGTTACAGGCAAACTATATTGAAAGAGCCTCTGTAGTGAGTATTTAAGCATAAGAATGAATTGAACAGGACCTAGGATATGTTTTCCAAACGACTGAACAAGTTTTCTTATATAATCTAAGTTTCCTTTAGAACATTTAGAAAATGCTGTATATATCTCACAGTTCTGAACATGTTTTGCTGTCAAAACAAAGTATGCTGCAGGTAGACCATGGGAGCCATATAAACTGATTGAAAAAATAAAATAGTTAGATTCAAGTACTTGGTGTTTCTTAGAGTCATGGATTAAAGACAAATTGTTACATTTTTATATGAATTCATTTGTAACTCTAGAAATAATTTGAAGTTTCTCTGAACTCGATCATTTAGAATTATGTGAAGAAAAATTGAACAAGCAGCATAAGATTGCTTTACATGTATCTTTTGATTTGAAAGGGATGTATTTGGAAATGCAAATTTCCAGAGCATAGAATTCCTTCCAGTTTGTTATCTTCAGTTCTCACGGCAGAGGCAGAGATTGCTGCTACTGTAGTTTGTCTTTGGAACATTCAAGCTCCATAAATACAAATATATACTAAATCCTTTGCTTTTCTGTGACACGATTCTTGGGATTTACCTTAGAATAATCTTGTGGGGACTGGGGAAGAGATAGGGTAGAAATGGGGTATGGATAGATTAGCTATGGGTTGACACTTTGGGATTCTGATGAGTACCTGCACATCCATCACATTCATTTGAGAGCTCTCTGAACTTGGATGCACTTTTGAAGTTTCTTAGCGAATAGTGCATATATTTCCTTTGGCATTAAACACATTCAGAATCAAGGTCCACCTATATGGTGTGGTTTCGGGAGAATTTGAAAGTTCTTCTGAGTTTACCTTCCTTCCACCCCACATTCCAAGAGAAAGTCCTTAATCTGTTTACTACTGCCTACAATTCCCTTCAGTTAGAAATTTAGTTGCTGATAAAATTAGACCTCCTCCCAAGGCAAATACGTTATAATCCACTTTGTTATTATGACTTTAATGTGAGTGAATATTCAAGTCTTTTTCTGAGTAGATAATGAATAAAGTGAATAGGGGACACATAATACAGACACTAGGTTTCTTTATAGGAAAAGTCAGGTGCCAACAGGGACAAAAATGTCCAAGAAAATGGCAGTTAAAGGCAAAAACACTGCAGTGACTTCAGTGTTATTTTTTCTCACGGTTATACTGAGTGTTTTATGTGTACATAAGCCTTGAAGTTTCATTTCTTTCAAACTTGAGGTTTTAATGTGGAAAGTTTGTTGCACATCTCTTTTCTCTCATCAGTAAATCACAGAGATGAGTGCTAGATCATATATTTTTATAACATTCTTTTGGGAGAGCATAAAGCAGTACCATGATAGTTATTTTTTAGCCTTTACAAAAGTATACTTTTTGATGCAACATTATACAAGGTCACAGGTGTGATGACTACTTAGAGATCCTCTTGGACTAATGTTCTTAATTTGGATTGGGAAGATTCCCTGGAGTCCTTGGGTATGCACCAGGGGGTTCATGATCCCCTGAAATGGATTAGAAAATGTTACATTTATGTGCATTTATATACATTCTAGGTAGACAGCCCATGGTTTTAATCATGTTTGTAAGGAAATTCATAACACAAATAGAATAAAAGCTACCTGTTTATTTTATAGAGGAAAAAAGTGATGCTCATAGGGTAGATGTAATTTACTGAACACTACACAGAGTGTATTGCAATGCCTCAAATTCAACATATTTTCTTGAGGGCTCGTACTAAACATGAAGCAAAACTTGAAGCTTGAGCAATCCAGAGCAGACAGACCATTTTATTAGTTTGAAATCACTTTGAACCTGACCCCAGCAGCACTTTGTTAGCACCAAAGGAAACTCCTTAGCTTTTATAAAAACAGCAACAAAAACCAACACACATTAACAAAATGCTGGACTTACACAGCATCTTGGTGACTGATTTTCTGGAGGGTCTTTGAATATTTGTGGTCACTTCCTTTGCATCAAGGGATTTATCTTTCTTCAGCTAAAAGGGAAAGTGGAAAGAGACAGTAAGAAAGGGAAGCATTCTTGACCCATTATGGATCTTGACCCATTCTGAGCAGTGAAACTTAACCCCTGCCTCCACCCCACCTGGCCTTTTGTGCAAAGGTAAACAAACACACAGGGATAGGGTTTGTGTTGTGGTGCAAGAGGGTTAAGCTGTTGCTTGCAGTGCTGGCATCCCGCATGGGAGTGCCAGGTCACATCGGAACCACTCCGTTTCCAATCTCCCTGCTAACGTGCCTGGGAAGTCAATGGAAGATGGGTAGTCTCCTGCCACCCATGGGATAGACCAGGATGGAGGTCCTGGCTGTTGGCTTTGGCCTGGCCTAGACCTGGCTGTTGTGGCAATTTGGGGAGTGAAACAGTGGGTGGAAGGACTTAATCCTTCTCTCTATTTTTCTCTGTATTCTCTCGTTCTCTCCACTTGTTTCCTCTCTCTCTCCTGTTTCTCTCTTGGTCTCAGTCTCTGTCACTCTGCTTTTAAAATAAATATAGATTTTATTTATTTATTTATTTGACAGGTAGAGTTACAGACAGTGAGAGAGAGAAACAGAGAGAAAGGAAAGGTCTTCCTTCCATTAGTTCACTCCCCAAGTGGCCGCAATGGCTGGAGCTATGCCGATCTGAAGCCAGGAGCCAGGTGCTTCTTCCTGGTCTCCCATGTGGGTGCAGGGGCCCAAGCACTTGGGCCATCCTCCACTGCCTTCCTGGGCCACAGCAGAGAGCTGGACTGGAAGAGGAGCAACCGGGACTAGAACCCTGCGCCCATATGGGATGCTGGCGCTGAAGGCGGAGGATTAACCAAGTGAGCCACGGCACCAACCCCTGTAAATAAATCTTAAAAATAAATAAAAAGGACAACACACATACATATGTACAGAAGGATTTCCCATTTTCTGTGGATCCACTTACACAGATACCTGCAATAGCCAGGGCTAGGCCAGGCTGAAGCCAGGAGAGGCTAATTTTATCTGGGTCTTCTATGTGGGTGGCAGAAATTCAGCTACTTTTCACTTCTGCCTCCCAGAGTGTGCATTAGCCTGAAACTAGGTTAGGGAGTTGAGCTGGGACTCAAATGCAGGTACTCCATTATGGGGATGTGTCACTCCCCCTCTTCGCGGAGGAACGACACAGGACCCTGCACTGTTCTTTTGTCTGCTCGGCCCTCCCCGGGTTTACTGCTGGTTCTTCCCGGGTTGGCTACCGTCCCTTCCACCTCCGTGGAAGGGCGGTTCCCCCTAGCCACTTTCCCCACTTCCGCGGGGGAGCGGCATACCGCCGGCATACCGCCGGCCAGCTCTCTCGGGGGCTGCACAGGTGTTCCTCTTAGATGTTCCCCTTAGATGTTCCTGGTGCATGTTGTCTCTCTCCTCCTTTATAGTCCTCTTCCACCAATCCCAACTCTGCTACCCACACGCTGAGTACGCTGCTCTCCTCCAATCAGGAGCAGGTCCTACAGTTTATTGGTTGAACTGGAGGCAGCTGTGTAGAAGCTGTTTCCTCCTCTCCCAGCGCCATATTGTGGGAGAGCAGATGCATAGAATAAGTCTTAATTCCAGTAACTTAGTCTAGTCCGAGTTGCTCCCAGTTGCTCCCCACAGGGATGTGTGTTTCCAAGTCGTGTCTTAACTGAGCTATGCCAAATGCCTTGTTCTTGGGCAGCGTAACTCTAGTACTCATTTTGAAGACAAAATACTGTGATATAGATAGATACATGGATATGTTAACTGTTTAACAGTGAGTTGGAGTTAGAATTGAATCCAGTCCCCTAAATTAACTGGGTAGAGGGCTGCGACCAAGTGACAGTGCAGCCATTTTTATATGCAGTTCTATAGAGCCTTGCTTATATACCATGTTAATATTTATTTGATGAAAAATGTGAAATTCTGAAATAAAAATGTCATATGAGTTTTTTCATGCATTCACTTGCTCATTTAACAATCACGAGCATCTTTTAGAGTGAAATCCCTGTGTTAAATGGGAAGTAGGAGACAGAAAAGCAGGTAGTATTTTAACCTCACGAGGATTATGGTCTTGGTGTGGGGCTTCTCTGAGCCTTTAATGTGCTTATGGCCATGACGATTCTTAAAGGTGAATAATGTGTCACCCCCTCATCCATCCCCATCACACCAAATCTCCCACCTCATTCTAGCCAGAAGGCGAACAATATGTCTTTAACTAAACCACGCCTTCTGTCCCCAAACCCCTTATCAGTGGATTACCATGTTTGTACCATTTTAGCAAGAAAAAAATTGAAAAAATGATGATTTACTAACATTATTGTTATGAATATCTGTATTTCCGAGGTAAGATGCTGAAATATATTCATCCTGTGGGCAGATGTTTGGTGCCATACTTGAGACACCTACAACCCCTAGTGCAGGGCCTGGGTGTGAGTCTTGGATCCACTCTCCATTCTAGGTTCTGGTTAATGTAATCCTTAGGAAGCAGCAGATGATGGCTTAATTATTTGCATCCCTGCCATCCATGTCTGAGATCCAGTTTGAATTCCTGGGCTTTGGCCTGATCCAACCATGACTGTAGCATGGGTCTGGGGAGTGAACCAGTGATTGGAAGATCTCTCTATTTCTCACTCACTCTCCCTTTCCTCAAATAAAATAAATAAAAAATTTTAAAAAGTATGTGCTGATCCTTAATGTAGCATCTGAAAATTCCACACATCAATACTACCTGCAGTCTTCCTGGTTCCGTCCAAAGCCCACCTGCTCCTGGAAGATTCTGGTGGCTGCTTTATCCCACTGCAGTCTCCTGCCCCTGAACTTCTGTAGCGCAGAGACCTGATTCATTCACCTGCATGCGGGATTTTTTTTCTCCTTACATGTATTTCTAGTTTGTGGGGATATTCAGTCAGATAAAGGAAGCTCTAATGCATTATGACAAACTACCATCCAATATCTTGAAGTTAGGGTGGAGATTTACCTAGTGGTTAAGGTGCTCCCATCCCATATTGCAGAACCTGGGTTCCATTCCCAGCTCCAGCATCCTGCTCATGCATAGTGTGGGACACAGTGGTGCTTGCTCAAGTAGTTGAATTGCTGCCACCTGCGTGGGAAACCTGAATTGAGTTCCTGGCTCCTAGTTACTGTCCCAGCTCAGACCAAGTCATTGAGGGGGTTTGAGGGGTGGGGACTCCCAGCCAATGAGAGCTCTTTCCACCTGTCTCTACATCTCTCTGCATCTCAAACAATAAACATATCTAAAATTAGTGCAGTCTATATTTTCCCATTGATTGTCTAGAATTTATTCTCTTCTCTTGCTGATGACACCCTGATTTTCTCTTATAGAATATATTTCTTTTTTTTTTGAGGTATATCTTTCCATTTATTTAGGTATTATTTTTTTTAACTTTTATTTAATGAATATAAATTTCCAAAGTGCGATTTATGCATTACAATGGCTTCCCCCACATACCGTCCCTCCCACCCACTACCCTCCCCTTTCCCACTCCCTCTCCCCTTCCATTCACATCAAGATTCATTTTCGATTATCTTAATATACAGAAGATCAGCTTAGTATACCTTAAGTAAGGATTTCAACAGTTTGCTCTCACACAGAAACATAAAGTGAAAAATAATAGATGATTTTTTTTAAATGATGATGAAATCAGATCAGACCTATTGTCATGTTTAATCCCAGTGAGAGTCAAGTTGGGAGTTGATAATTTCTTTCTTTCTTTCTTTTTTTTTTTTTTTTTTTACAGAGGATCAGTTTAGTATACATTAAGTAAAGATTTCAACAGTTTGCACCCCCATAAAAACACAAAGTGAAATATATTGTTTGAGTACTCGTTATAGCATTAAATCTCGATACACAGCACATTGAGGACAGAGATCCTACATGAGGAGTAAGTGCACAGTGACTCCTGTTGTTGACTTTACCAATTGACACTCCTGTCTATGGCAACAGTAGTCTCCCTATGCTCCGGTCATGAGTTTCCAAGGCTATGGAAGCCCTCTGAGTTCTCCGATTCTTATCTTGTTTAGACAAGCTCATAGTCAAAGTGGAGGTTCTCTCCTCCCTTCAGAGAAAGGTACTTCCTTCTTTGAAGACCTGTTCTTTCCACTGGGATCTCACTCGCAGAGATCTTTTGTCAGAGTGTCTTGGCTTTCCATGCCTGAAATACTCCCATGGGCTTTTCAGCCAGCTCCGAATGCCTTTAGGGCTGATTCTGAGGCCAGAGTGCTATTTAGGACATCTGCCATTCTATGAGTCTGCTGAGCTCTTATAGAATATATTTCTTACCCACAGTTAGTCATTAAATTGGATGGAAATGACTGCAACTCCAGCTCCAAATGTAGTCCCTAGATTATATACATTGATCAGATTATCCTGTCCTTTAGTCACAGTGAGTGGATAAGTGGGACCAGATTTCAGAAAAATTTCAGATATTTGCTCAGAATTCTGGAACAGGATGTTTTATTTCCTTTTTATTGAGACTTCCAGAGGGAGTCCTATATAGAATAAGCTATAGAAATGAGACCTAGCATTAAAATAGCTTTTGTTTTGTTTTGTGAGCTGGAGGTGTTTTAAATCATCAGTGGTAGCAGTGGTAGGTGGGGAAGGGTGTAATAAAGGTAAACCACGTCCATGGAAAGAAGAGCAAAGAAACAAAAATAAAGCTAGATCTTTAGTGACATTATGTGTTCTCTCAGATTAATCTTCATCAAGAGCCAACTTTAGTTTTGGAATTCCCTGGCCTATGCTCATTTCATGATCGGCCAGTTGAGTTGGGTTTCCTTCATTTTCAATGCAAAGTCCTGATTGAGTTATTGAGGCCATCGAGAGGAAGGAAAATTTAATGTATTTGGGATCAGTCTACTGAGTTATAAGGAGACAGATTCCAGTACACAGTAAATAAGAAATTGGTGTGAATGTGCAACAGTGGGACAAACTACTTGAAGAAGCAGTGAACTTTCTGGGCTGATGGAGTTTTTGAGGGACTGTTTTAGAGATTATATTTAAAACTAAATAAGACTTGGAAGAGTAGATCATTAGAAATTGTCTCTAAAGTTCAACCATTCCATAACCTGTCTTCCTAACAAACATACTGGGAATCTTCAAAAAGTTCGTGAAATAGAATATTATGAAGAAATTATATGTGGATTTCAAAATTTTTGTGTCTGATTAAGTTATATTTTAATTCCATTTTATTGTGAACCTTTTGAAGTACCTTGATTGAAGTTCTGGGAAGTCAGGTGTGTCTCGGTGCCATATGGACCCTGAAGCATCTGCTTGTATGATTGAACCTGGCCATCTGACTCCTGAAGATATTGGTGCTCCTGACATATATCTGTGTCTTTAAAAGTGTGAGATGAAAGGTCTGCTGATATTGGCCCATTATAGCTAGACCTTGAAAAAGATGGAACTAACTGTGAAATTATTTAGGAATAGAAGGAAGAAAACTGAAGATTGTAATACAGCAATAATAAAACAGTAATATCAAACTGCAGACAGAATTTATCTTCATATATGGTACATGATAAGAAGTAGATATATTATTGCTATTATTATGACTCTTGTTATTGCCCAAAGATTACTCAAAAGATATAATAAAAACTGCAATTTTTGAAATATAAGTATTAATTTATGTTTGTTGACCCACTCATGTAGATTACTGAGTTCTTTCTGTATACCCCCTTTCTGATGGTACCATTCACTCATAAGTAGTGCTTGTGCTGATACAAAGAAGCAGTTAGGTGCAGTGAGAAAAAAAGCAAAAATATGTTCAAGATTAGAGCCATGTATCACACTACAAACTTTAAGTTGCTAATTGTTTCATACTAATTTTAAAATTCATAGTTATTATAAAAGATATTTATTCCATTACTTGGCTGCAGTCTATAATCAAGACAGTAAAAGGGTTTTAAGATCTATTAATCTCTTATTTGGTTGTGTTTAGTAGTTCTCAGTGGTAAATTCTCCACTCCTAGGAATAATTTCCTCACGTCAAATATCAAACACAATTCTTGTATGAACAAGTTTCCTGTACAAGTATAGTTTGCACTAAAAAGAAAATTGAGTGTGTACTAATTATTACTTACTTTGCATCTTCCTTAGGGTATAGTGACATAACTAGCTTACTAGCAGAAAGTGAAAAAATTAATACTTATCTACGTGGCACATGGTTCCAAAGAACTTAGAGTAGTTGACCTACAGGAATAGAATCTTCACAATTTGTTTAGCTAATCACAATTTGTTAGCTAATTTGTTTAGCTACACCCAAGCTTTTATTTTAAAACTACGCAAAGAGGAGTGAAAAATTGTGGACACTATGTAGGAAGCTGAGAAGCCTCATATCCCTCTCCCTTTAGCTATGGAAGATTAAAGTGAATGAGAGGCTCAGGAATCCATGTTTATATATGATCTTGATCATTTGTTAATAATGAATGAAATATTTCTACCAGCTTTTCATGTATGTAACTTTGAAAATCAGTTTCAAAATACCAATATATAGTAATAGATTTTGTGTATATAGCTTTACAATTAGAACTCTACATCCACACACAACCTCGTGTTTGAGATGCTTAAATTCTGCTGCAGTTTGAACATGCATTCTCACCAACTAATGTATTAATACTATATACAGGAGATAGAAGGACCAGGCCAAAACTTCACCAGTATTTTCCCCCTGTTGGAGAGGAACTTGCCCTGGGATCATCTCTTTTCCAACTCTCTAATGTTTGAACCCTGGAAAGCAGCTCAGTGGAGACTCCCATCCTAGAAATATGAAACTTCCCTAAATGTTTAGCTTGAGCACTTTTGTGGCTTCCCTCCTCCTCTCCTGATGCTGGTATTTCATCAGTCTCAGGTCTGCTGCTTTCTGAAGGCATTGAGTCCCTGAGTCAGTCACACCCTGAGACTGGCCAAGAGATTCAGTCACTTACCAACCATTAGGATTGCTTGAATCTCTTAGTTAAAAAAGGGCTTTTGAGACAGATTTCCAGGTCTTGTAATGGTAGGAAAGCTGAAGGCCAGAAATGAGGGAAACATTTTTCCTGATTTCACTCACTGAGCTTACAGTATAATCGGCAAGAAATAAATTAAAGAATCCACAAGTATAGATTATAAGTTGTAGTGAAAGAAAATAACTGGGAGCCCTGAGCAGCTCTAAGGGCAGGTATAGTCAGGGAACCTGGGAGAGATTCCCTGAGGAAGTGCAATTGAAATAAGACTTAAAGGACAAGTAAAAGGGGTAGAGACACTAAAGGAATTGTTGTGGTGAACAATAGAAATATTTCAGGCAAAATGTGGAGGCTCTGAAGTGAAGCCTACAGATACAACCTGTTTCTGCTGACGTCCAGTCTATAGATTGTTAAGTTATTTTAGGAGTGACTTTCTCGGCACATAGCTCCTTTCCTGATACCCTCTGGTAGCTTGGATAGCACCTCAGTCTTCCTAGAGCAGAGTGTTGTAAGGTGTATTGCACACATAAAGGAAACTTGACTGGTTTCTAAGCTGTTTGTTGTCTTGGCTGTCGCTTAGCTCCTCATATAAGTTAGCTGTGGGTTCCTGACAACAAAATACAGTGACACTTGGAGTTATTGCGGTTTGTAGGGGAAGAATGTGATTTCTATTCAGAGTTGAAAATTACTCCCTAACTGACCAAAGATGAGTGACTCATAGATGTTAGACAGGGTAGAATTGACAAATTCTGGGCGGGGATTTCTCCAAGGATTTAGGATACTTGGAGTTGTGAAGTAGTTTTCCCCCTCAGTGAGAATCATGAGGCTTTTAAAGACATGGCTACGCACTAGTCTGGGGTGACATATGTTTCTGGGAATACAGGGACGAAGCCCTTCAGAAGGAGACTGGCACGAGTCTGCCTGATTCAATTTATTCTTGTGCCCAGGTGTCTGTGTCACTTAGAATCTATTATTTTTCCTTAGACCTTGCCATTCCTGTTAGAGACAACAGGTATTCAGAATATCTGCTTCTGTGGCACTGCTTCTGACAATTACCTTTCTCAGAGGTGAACTGATGTGGGAGTGTGCTAGTTGTCACGTCATGTATGGTACCAGAGCCATCTTGAAGCGTGTGCTGTGAGTTTGTCTGCTCTGTTCTTCCATTTACAACTCCTGTTGCTCCTGCTCACAGTACTTCTCCCTTTTTTGAGGAATCAGATTGTTGGAGCCAGAAGGAGACGTAGAGATGATCTGCTATGACCTTTTCATTTTATAAATGGGAAAACTCATTGCAGAAGAATTATGTGGCTTTTCATATATCACCCGTGGACCTGGGAGTCTAAACATCCTTGTAACTTTATGACATGAGCCATCTCCTTAAGTGGGTTGTCATAGTCAAGACTTCCATTTCTATGAATTTGAGTACAGAATATTCTAGGAGAAGAACTATATAGACATCTGCCCTTATCAAAATATTTTCTCAGCTAATTGACACTCAGAAAATAGAAAATAAAAAGAAATCAGTTTATCATGGAGAGTACTGGAAGGAACCTGCAATTTAAGTTGAAAACTGAGTGATAGTTTTGTTTTAATCCCAAATATCTCTATTGACATTTTCTTTTACTCTCTTTCAAGAGCTCCATTCACCTCCCCATCCCTCAGTTTCTACCTGCTGTACAGGGGAACAAATTGATGTCATTCAGGAAATTCATATTCTTTTGTTTTTATTTTAATCTGATATTTTAACCAAAGGGTCAAAGCAACCACAAGGAGGGACCTGACTTCACAATTGTATAGATGGGGAAAGATTATGCTGTCCTGAGACCAATTGGTGCAGTTGACAGAGATAAGGGAGGACAGTAGGGTATGGAAGGGCTTCCCAAGGTGTGGCCACCTAACCCCAGTTTGCCTGATGTGCTTGTTTCAAAGAGGCTACAGCTCAGACCAGATGAGTCCAATTTTTTTCTAAGGGTGTAGAGTGTGCATAATAGTATCCTTAGCAAGTTTTCCAAGTGATTCTCAGAAACACTTAGCTATGAGAGCCACAGCAAAGAGAGGAGAGGAATCAAAGGTGAGCTATGGAAAGTGACAGGTGGTTGTAATTCCTGCTTGTCTCATTTGAGGAAAAAGCTTTCAGCTTCTTTGTTTCCCCCTCTGAGCTCATCCTGCTTGTCTCTATGATAAATTTCTAGTTCTAAGATTGCCTGGTTCTAAATGATTCTCTTTGGATCAGTGGAACAGGCTGCATGCTGGCTCTAGCCAGCAGCCGGGATACTCACTCTGAGCCCCATGAGATAGTAGAGCACACTGATGACAGTCATGGGGAGGACGTAGAAGAGGAAGGAAGTGACCTGGATGATGAAGTTGTAGATCCACATGGGCGTGATGATCTCACAGGTGGCAGAGCCGGGGACCAAGGAGCCATTGGGGAAGTAGTGGAGCTTGATGCCGTGGATGCTGGTATTGGGCAGAGAGAAAAGGACAGAGAAGCCCCAGACCACGGCCACGATTCTGAGAGCCCGCCGTCTGGTGCTCTCCAGCTTGGCCCGGAGTGGGTGGAGGATGGCCACGTAGCGCTCCACGCTGACCGTGGTGATGCTGAGGATGGAGGCAAAGCACACAGTCTCAAAGAGTGCCGTCTTGAAGTAGCAACCGAGCGGCCCGAACAGGAAGGGGTAGTTGCGCCACATCTCATAGACTTCCAAGGGCATGCCGAGGAGCAGGACCAGGAGATCGGAGACGGCCAGGCTGAAGAGGTAGTAGTTGGTGGGTGTTTTCATGCTCTGGTGCCGCAGAATCACCAGGCACACCAGGACATTGCCCACCACCCCCACCACAAAAATCAGCGCGTACACCACAGACATGGGGAGGAAGAGGTGGCTTCGCCGAGGCCCGCACAGGTAGGCCAGGTAGTCCTCCGTGCTGTTCAGGTATTTCTTGAGTGCATCTTCCAGGTCCTGCTGGCGCCTCCAGGTAGCATTCTCAAGTCTTTCCATCACTGACAACACAGTTTAAGACCCAAGTGTCCCCTGCTATGAAGCGCTGTCCCAAGCTGAGCCAGAAAAAGAGAGAGCTGGGCAAAGCAGAGGCTCCGTGAAGAGGGCTGGGGGAGAGTGAGCGCTTCAGCCTCTAGGTTGGGCTGCTCAGACCGCGGATGCCGGTGGAAGAGCCCCTGAGACAGAAGCCCCTCCCCTCGGCAGGCGCAGGCCAATGAGTGTGTGGCAGGCTGCTCAGGGAGAGGACGCTGAGTGGGGTGTGCTGGCTTTGTGCACAAGGAGCAGGAAAGGAGGGGGAGGCCTTTCTCTGCATTGACAACCTCTGGGGAAACAGCAGAGTGTGGCGGTGACATTGTCCAAGTGTGGGCACTCCCACAACTTTGCAAACAGGGCGAAAGGAAGAATTGAACTTGCAGGGTCATGGATAGATGATTACAAATCTCCATTGATCTTTGTCGCTTGGCAAAAACGGAAGATCAATGGACTTTCTCAGATTACCTTGTTCCACTGGAAATTCAAGGCTGTCTGATAAAAGCACGATCAATTCGACTTTTGGGTTCTGATTGCATCAACAATGGACTCCAAAGCCGAAAGGACGCTTAACATGTCAGCCAGCCCTGCCTGCTATCTGACATTTCAATCTCTGTAGGCAGCATCAAAAACCAGTGAGTTTCAGATTCAGGCATATACAAAGAAATTTGTGAAAGCTGCTCAAATTCTCAGAGTCTCATTTCCTTATCTGTATCATTCATTCTGTTGTGTTTAACACATACTTCTCGAGGATTCATTTTGTGCCAATGTTTTAGGCTTTGTGGATACATCAGTGAGCAAACAAAAAAATTTCTCAGCCCTTGTGAGTTTTATCTGTTTACAGTGGGAATTTCTAAAAATATGCTACCAAACTGATGAATTGATAAAATTTCAGATAGTTGATATGTGATTATTTACAAAGGATAGTCAAAGTTTTATCTCAGCAGGTACCTTTGGGTTGAGGTCTGGATGATGAAAACTCAGATGTAAAAAAATGAAGGAAGTATATTCCCAGCAAAAGAAACAGGAAGTTCAAATGCCCTGAGGCAGAAACAGTCTTGATGTATTTCAGAAATGTGGAGTATAACTGAAACTTAATAAGGATCAGGAGATTTGAATGCATACATTTAAGTGTATTAAGGGTCATGTAAACTCTTACAGGATATTATATATCCTCAAGTTATGCTTGCTGAATGTTAATTCTACTTAATTTATAAATTATATGATGAAACTAAAGATGTCCAAGAATCATCTGTTGGTCCAGATGAGATAGCTAATGTGGCTATAAGGAGTAATTGGCATATCTCAGTGGCTTAAAAGGATAAAAATATATTTTCTACACTGCAGATTTATCATATCTGGAGTGTCTATTCCAGACTATACTCACTTAGTGACCTATGGCTAATGAGTAGCACTTCTAGAACTTTCATGAGCATTGTAGTAGGGGGAAGGGGAGCTGTGGAAGGTTTCAAGTCGGTAATTATAGGCTCTAGCCCCACAGTAAGTAACATGTATCACTTTTGCTCAGAGCTCATTGATCAAGTTACTTGTAAGCATCCACTCAGCTTTGGCACGTGCAGGAAGTGCACAGAAGATGGAAAACCAGGAAAGTCTGGTGAACACAAAACAGTAATCGCTGAGATAAAAGACATCCCAGAGCCAGAATAGGAGCCCCACGTGAATGAGGAGCTTTGTTGTTGAGATTACAAGGAACAGAGTTATTAATTTCTGATGAAATAGAAACATTTGAATATTGGGATGGAATATTTCAATGACATGTAAGGTCTTTAAAAGATCAGATAATAGGAACTATATACTTGTGAGTGGGGAAGGTACTTCCTAGTACGAAGACAACATACTGAAGATTCCAAAACACCTCTACATCGTGACAGGGTAGGCTTAGTCAAATAGAATGCTGTCTAATATGGGATGCAATATCAAGCTCAATGGAAGGAGTTGGTGGAGGAGTGATAAAGATTTGGACTGCAGTGTAGGTTTTGGTTCAAATCCTGGTTCTGTTTCATACTGGCTGTGTGGCCATCAGGAATGTAAAGTGTTTTATCTGTGGCTCTCTGATACGCCACTGGCAAAATGACAAGGATGGCAATATTACCTTACAGGATTACTAGGAGGGTTAAATAGTTCCTAGTAAAATATCCCCTAGAAGTGATTTTAAATAATAGAGTATTTAAATATTTAATAATAAGCAATGTAATATGATAATGTAATAAGGAAAATGTCTTCACTTTTATTGGGGTCAAAAAGACTATTATAAGATTTAAAAATTAGAAGACATGCTTTAAACGGTTAATGTGAAAAGGACTTTCATATTTTAAATAACCAGCAGTACAAAAAACAAGTCAGAGAAGCTGCTAGGAGAGAATACAGATGTCTGTCCTGCAGCTCACCTGGGTTTGCCCCTGACTTTTTAATAAGAAGAAGACAACATTATGAGAGGCTCTTATCTTGTGGGGAATGTTTGATGCAGGTAGAGAAATTTTTCCTGAAAAAGACCCAGAAGAGAGAATAAGGGAGAGGTAAAGGGTCACTTTCCAACACTGATAATATATTTGGATGATACCAACGACAGAGGGGAAATACATAGAAGATGTCAGGTAGCAACAACAGGTGTTCAATTCTACTGAGATTTCTTGATGATTGACTAGAGAACCTGTTAGAAGTATTCATCTGAATGACAAGAAGCTGGAGTATTTACCCAACAAGTTCAGGAGAGTTGCCCCTGAAGGCAGTAAACCCAGTGAGTCTATTGCCCGTTCTTACTCAGAGGTTAAAGAGGTTTGCATGTTGTCAGTGATAGACAAATAGAAATATAGGATGAACTTATGATGCACCCAGATCACCATAGGTAAGTAGGAGCTTGCACTGGACTCAGTTTGGTAGCCATGTTTGAAATTGAGCTGATAAGGGGTTGTAACATAGGAGAACCAGTAGTGTCCACCAAGATCTATAAAGTAAGAAATAATAATGTTAATAGTTGTTGAGTACCTATTCCCAGGTAATACTGAGAAGATTTTACATGTACACGTTTGTGCATGTGCAAAAATAATAGTAATTTGCAATAATACTTATGAGATAGGTTCTGTTTACCCTTGGCACTACACAAGAGGAAAATGAAGCACTTAAACTTGTAGGACTTCTTGAAACTCATATAGTATATCAACCACTTGAGTTAAGTTTTGTTTTAGTAATAATAATTCATATGTTTTGTTGAATTAAATAAACAAATAGTTGTTTCTTAGTAATTGTACAGCTCCAACAAGAGTACCCTCGTAGCTCCTACTCTACATGTTTCTCACATTGGAATGCAGGTTACAATTAGTGTTTCCACAATTCCCAAAGTAATATTTCCAAAGGGGACTCTGATTCTAAAATTTTCTGCCCCAAACTGAATCAAGGTATGTGGCCATCCCTGATCCCAAAGAGAGTAAGAAGAACTATTTCATATGTCTAGGGGGAGAAAACCAAACTTACTTGCTAAACAGAATCAATGATTATGTATTCTGCCTCCCTGAACATCAAATATTCAGCTTATATTTTCTCTTGTAGGCAAAACACCCCTTTCCCTGCTCCATTGGTGTTGCCCCAACATTCCTATGCAGTCATAGCTTGACGTGACAGACTCAGGATCTCTGGGTGCCATGTGGTATTCTTTACAACAAAAAAGAAATCCACATGTCACTCCTCTTGTTCCAGAGACCTATAATCTAGAATGATAAATGATTAGCCCCCCACTGTAATACTCCTGACCATGATTTTCTCATTGCTTACTCTCTGACCTCTGGACTCACGCTGCTGAGTTGAGAATTTGTCTTCTAGCAGTGTTCCACTTCCATATCCAATGTGGAGCTGGAAGATTCGATTCATGCTGTAGCTACAGTTGACCCTAACATCTCAGTGAATTTAAACAACAGAGCCTGATTTTCTTTATATGCAATTTGTCAGTTGTGGCTAGGAAGGGAAAACTTTGTCCTACACGGTCTTCATCTAGAATAGTCTGGAAAATCTCTTCCCTGAAGCACAGTAATCGAACTGCTGGGAAAGCATGACTATGGGGTTCTGGCTTCTTCAATCCCACATTTTTGACAGATTTTCCTCTATGTTGTAGCATCTAATACTGTTCCAAGCAATGCCAATGAACCCAATGAATCAATCATAATGATGCTAAATACAGGCATTGCAGTAAGAAGGAAATAAACTGTAATTCAGCCCTGCTTGTTGAAAGAATAATTAGAAAAATCATAAATGTCTTATCAAAAAGTGTTTTTTTAAGAAATTTTAAATTTATTTTCACTTTATTTGAAAGGTAGAGAGACACAAAGAGAGAGACAGGAGAAGGCAGAAAGATAGAGATTGTCCATCCACTGGTTCGGTCCCAAGTGCCTACAACAACCAGGACTATTTTAGGCTGAAGCCAGGGACTTGGAACTCCACCTCAGTCTCCCATGCAAGCGGCAGGGACAAATATGCTCATACATTCATCTTCTGCCTCCTAGCTGGAAGCTGGATTGGAAGTGGTGGAACTGGGACTTGAACCAGGCAGTCTGATATGGGATGTGGGCATCCCAAACAGTGACTTAGCCACTATGCCTCATGCCTGCCCTAGAAAATGTTTGTAATCTAGATACTAACAATTCAAACGCATTTGCCTGAGAACTCTGTTACTTGGTACAGAACCTTAGTTCAGGGGCATAACATTCACATTCTGAACTGTGGCATCCTAGGGAGCTGGGGAATTCTCTAGTGAACTTGGATAACTGCAATGAAAGTTCTATCTATACAGAGTAAGGCCAGCCAAAAGATTGTTTGCTCCAGTTTTAAGTCCTGCATTTAAAGAGAGATTTGATGAAGCTCACATAGTCCCATAATGGCGATTGGGATGGTTCTAGTAAATTGGGATGGCTTGGGTTCTGTCTGTTTTAACCGCAGTCCTTCACTGTCCATGGCTGCTTTTG